AACGGGATAATAATGATAAAATATATAGAAACCCAAAATTTTAAAAATTAATCAGTTTTTAAACTGGCAGATCCAAACAAATATATAATAATGTTTGTTACGGTTTTTGGTATATAATATATATAACTAGTGAGCGAGTCAGAATGACTTATTTCCCTTTATAGTCGACCAATAGAAGGTTGACCAATCAGAAGCCGCACAACACTGTATTCGTCGTGTATAAAGGCGGCCATCTTTCCATTCCTCTACCAAAGGGCCAAAGGCGAACAGGAGAAGGATGAACTACGCTCTGCTCTGCTGCGATATCCACTGCGAACCTGCACTACGCTTTCCTACTGTCTCCGAAATATTCACTGCCAACCTCTGGATTCTATACTCGAGGACGACCGTCATGAGAATGTCTAACATATATTCTGTCTGAATTTCAGGGATAAAGAGATATTATTATTTACGCTATTTACATGCAGATTATTGTCATCATCTTTGTTGTTGTTATCACAGCGTTTCCCTCGCTGTATCCCGCTCCCAGCCCTTAATAGGGTTTATATCTGGGCATCCTACAGGGATTCTGAACTGAACCCTTTATATAATCTACGGGGATAGACTGTCTTTTTTCCACTACCCATGTCTAGTGATATTTTATCTAGATTTTAGTTTTAGTTTTAATCAGTTATTGCTCGCTCTCTTTCCACTGAGTCAATGTACACACTGCACAGTCCAGGGATTGAACTCACACTTACTATATCACCAAATTTTCAAATCCACTAGGCAACTGTAGGTCAATTCCCTGTGGAGAACTTGGAGCCTTAAACCTAACCTGACTTCTCATGTTCTACAGTTGCTGCTCTCTGTCATACTTGACTGCACTAGAGAATTTTTTTTTCATTTCTTATAGATGCATTTGCTCTCATTTGTCTTTCTTTCATAATTAGTGGCTCTCATATCGTATTTATTGTTATGCTGGGCCTACTAAGCAGTTCCTCATGGCCTAACATTTGCGGTTGATTCATTCTGATGACTAACTTCCCAGTGTTCTTTCTTGTCCAGTATTTTCATTTCATTCCAAGGGGATTAATGACTATTTTTTTTCTCTCCGTATATGATCTGCCATGCCCGATTTAATTGTCTAATCACTCATTGCGGTTTTTCAATGTTCCTCCAGCCTTACTTTTTTCTTTGTTTCTAATTATTTTCTGCTTCTTTATATATATATATATATATATATATATATATATATATATATATATTTGTGTGTGTGTATATATATATATATATATATATATATATATATAGAGAGAGAGAGAGAGAGAGTTTTTGAAAGCTATCTTTCGTTATTCCAATGAGCCTTCAGATTTCTTTTACATCACTTAGCAGATATTTAATTTCAGTATTTTCTTGATTTTGACATATAGAATTCATAGTTCGTATCTGGAACGGTTCCTACCCGAAGAGGAAGTTGTAGAGTGCAATTTGAAAAGCAACTGCTATGTTCAGAAGAATCGTCTAAAAAACTGTGTACATCATGACAACGCTCCTTATTGAGTAGAAATCCACAGATTTTGTCATGGAAAAACAGTTTCATTTCCTCCTTTTCGCTTTCTAGTAGAGCTTTCCTCTTTATTCCAATTTCTCCCCATTTTTTCTTCAGTCTTTCACTTTTAATTCGTCTTTTATATGTGTCTGTCTTCTTTCTTTCTTATAACTTTTATGTCATATTTACTTCAATCAATTTTCTTTCTCTCCTTTTTCTTTTTTCTTTCATTCTTTCTAATTTTCTTATTTCTATTTTATTTTATTTTTATATTTCTTTCTTATAATATGCGTATAACATTTATTTCAATCGATTTCTTACTCATTCTTTCTTTCAATCTGCGTCTCTCATTTATTTCAATCGATTTTCTTTCTTTCTTTCTTTCTTTCTTTCTTTATTTATTTATTTATTTATTTCCTGCTTTCTGTTAACCTGCGTATCTTATTTATTCCAATCGATTTCCTTTTCTTTCTTTCTTTCTTTCTTTCAATCGGCGTCTCTCATTTGTTCCAATCGATTATCTTTCTTTCTTTTTTTCTTTCTTTCTTTCTTTCCCTCATTCTTTCTTTCTTTCTTTCTTTCTTTCTTTCTTTCAACCTGCGTCTCTCATTTATTTCAATCGATTTTCTTTCTTTCTTTCTTTCTTTCTTTCTTTCTTTCTTTCTTTCTTTCTTTCAACCAGCGTCTCTAATTTGTTCCACTCGATTTCTTTCTTTCTTTCTTTCTTTCTTTCTTTCTTTCTTTCTTTCTTTCTTTCAACCTGCGTCTCCCATTTATTCCAATCGATTTTCTTTCTTTCTTTCTTTCTTTCTTTCTTTCTTTCTTTCTTTCTTTCTTTCTTTCTTTCAACCTGCGTCTCCCATTTATTCCAATCGATTTTCTTTCTTTCTTTCTTTCTTTCTTTCTTTCTTTCTTTCTTTCTTTCCTGCTTTCTTTCAACCTGCGTCTTTCATTTATACTAATCGATTTTCTTTCTTTCTTTCTTTTTTCTTTCTTTCTTTCTTTCTTTCTTTCTTTCTTTCTTTCTTTCAACCTGCGTCTCTCATTTATTTCAATCGATTTTCTTTCTTTCTTTCTTTCTTTCTTTCTTTCTTTCTTTCCTGCTTTCTTTCAACCTGCCTCTTTCATTTATACTAATCCATTTTCTTTCTTTCTTTCTTTCTTTCTTTCTTTCTTTCTTTCTTTCTTTCTTTCTTTCAACTTGCGTCTCTCTTTATTCCAATCGATTTTCTTTCTTTCTTTCTTTCTCCGTAACATTCAGTCATTATTTTACTTCCTCCATTTTTTCCTCGTTTTTTTTTCCCTCTTTTTCAATTCGCTTCGCCTCTTTTTTTTTTTACTTTTTTGGGGGGCTTTTTACGAACTCTTTTTTTATTATTTTTCATTTGTTTCTCCCTATCTTCTCCAAACAACTTGTTCAACATTTCCACGCAAAGCAAGACATGATTCTTCCTCCGATGACATCTGACATTATCTATATCCGGAACACTCTATTGCAGCGCTGAGGGTAATGTCAGCGTCCAATAAAATATATATTGCAACTAGCTGCAGGGTGTTTCGAATTTAAACGGACACATTTAAAAGCTTTCTTTTTTTACTTATTCTTGATGAGGCTTTTATTTTCATTTATTTATTTTCCTTTTCCCGCTGTTTCTGTTTTGTTTTTTGTTTTGTTTTTCATGACTTTCTTATCTTCTATAATGAAAGTTCGTTTCTTCACGTGGATATATATATATATATATATATATATATATATATATATATATATATATATATATATATATATATTTATATATTTTAATTTAGCCATTATATTATTTGGAATCAATAGTTTTATGATTAAGGGATAAATTCAGTCATTCAATTGAAAATAATAAGAAAGTTATGGAATTGCAAGGGCAGAAAATAGATTTGCTTTTATCTCTTCACTTAGAAATTGGAATCAGATAGGGACATAAATACATTCACTGAGTGCAAAAATTTCTGGCGATCGTTTTTGAAAACTAGAGGCTGAATCCACAGTTGAAAATCAGTTTTTCGCCGAAACTTTTTGCACACATCTGACATATATATAAGTTGAGATGTCTTTTGTTCTTCTCTCTCTCTCTCTCTCCCTTTCTCTTTCTCACTCTCTCTCTCTCTCTCACACACACACACACACATACACGCACACACAAACACCGTATCCTATCTATACATTATGAAATTAGGAAAAATTTCTCGGACATTCATACCGGTAAATGTTGTTAATACTGTTTATTATAAACAGAGCATCTACTTAAATATTTGTATCGATAAAAAGAATGTATAAACATAAATATGTCTTAAATACATATATATATATATATATATATATATATATATATATATATATATGTCTTCTGTTCTTCTCTCTCTCCCCCCTCTCTCACTCCATCCCTCCCTCTCTCTCTCCCTCACCCCACTCTCCCTCCTTCCCTCTCTCTCTCTCTTTCTCACCGTCTCCTATCTATACATTATGAAATTATGAAAAATTTCTCGAACATTCAGGCCGGTAAATGTTGTTAATACTGTTTATTATAAACAGAGCATTTACTTAAATATTTGTATCTATAAAAAGAATGTATTTACATAAAAATGTATAAAATAATTGTCGGACTTTGTCCATTTCATAATGTATGGCGTCATTTCTTTACATTTGGATACACCATGAGCAGATATGAATGTAAGGGAGAGAATCATGGAAGATTGAAGTTTAAAGGCAGTAAATTCGACTTTGCTAACCGAACGCTCCTCTGTGGCCCAATCGGTTAAAGGCACGTCAGGCTATTTGACGGTTCCGTATAGGACACAGGTTCTAATCCTGTCGGAGGACAAATATTTTCTATGAAAAATCTCTCGGATATTCAAGCCGGTATATGTTGTTAATAATGTTTATTATAAATAAAGCATTTAGTTAAATATTTGTATCTATAAAATGAATGTATTAACATAAAATGTCTTAAAGAACTGTCGTGACGTCATTTGTTTACATTTGGATACGCCATGGGACCGATTCCCGGTGTCTATGTCTAGTAATCTATTCCTGTGGTCTAAGTCTAGTAATTTATTCTCGGTGCCTAACTCTAGTAATCTATTCTCGGGATCTAATTTTAGTAATCTATTCTCAGTGTCAATGTGAGAAAATCATGGAGAATTGTGTTTAAAAAGAGTAAAATCGACCTTGCTGTGGCGAAATCGGTAAAAGCACGTCAGGCTATATGACGGTTCCGTATAGGATGCAGGTTCGATTCCGTTCGGAGGACGCATATTTTCTATGACAATTTCTCGGACATTCAGGCCGGTAAATGTTGTTAATACTGTTTATTATAAACAGAGCATTTACTTAAATATTTGTATCTAAACATAAAAATGTCTTAAACATCTATCTATCTAGTTATTTTTACAGGCTGCAAGTTTTCGAATATACAACCCTGTTTGCCATTAAACGATGAAATTCATGTCTGCAGGTTGAAAATCTTAACGAAAATGTTATATACCGTACCTATGAACACTAATGGTATGTCCCAATCCTCATGAATACGTTGGACCCTATTGCAAGTGTCGTTAATATGATGTCTAAGTAGTCCACCATTAGCAGTGGTTTACCTAGTTCACGCCGCTGGCGAGTATCGTATTTTGTTGACGTTATAAAAATTACCATTTCATTTCCTCCGTTTTGGTTATTCCTCATTTAGTCGCACTTTCTAGGTTGCAACAGTGTTCCTCCTGATGTCAAACCTGTCCCCCCTTGTTTTACTATCAGGCAACAATAAGCTGTACAGCAAAGTGATTAAAAAGAGAAAACGTGTTTGATTGGTGGCATATTTTCTTGAAGACATTCAATTTTTTTTTTTCCATTGTACATTAAGTTTAAGAATATTGAATTAAAAAGATTGCATTAATGGCTTAAAATAACCACATGAAGAGTAACTTCTACGGAACATTTAGATTTATCTCTGTCTATTAATCCTAATCATTTGCCTGCCGCGTTATCTATCTATCTATCTATCTATCTATCTATCTATCTATCACAGTTTGTTCATTATCTATCTATTTATCTATCACATTTTTTCATTATTTCTCTATCAAAGTTTGTTCATTATCTATCTATGTATTTTTCTATCTGTCACAGTTTGTTCATTATCTATATATCTATGTATCTATCTGTTTGTCCATCATATATATATATATATATATATATATATATATATATGATGAAAATGTACATTTGGATACGCTCTGAGCAGATATGAATGTACGTGAGTGATTCATAGAAGATTGAAGTTTAAAAGCAGTAAATTCGACCCTGGCAATCGAAAGATTCTCCCTGGCTCGATCGGTTAAGGCACGTCAGGCTAAATGACGGTTCCGTATAGGATACAGGTTCGATTCCTGTCGGAGAACGAATATTCTATTCTCAGGTCAAAGACTAGTAATCTATTCTCGGTGTCTAACTATAGGAAACTGTTTTCGGGGTCAAAGTCAAGTAATCTCTTCTCGGGATTCAACTCTAGTAAACTATTCTCGGTGTCTAACTCGAGAAATCTATTCTCGGTGTCTAACTAGTAAACTCTTCTCCGTGTCTAACTCTAGCAAACTCTTCTCGGGTTCTAAGTCAAGTAATCTATTGTCGCTGACTAACTCTAGCCATCTATTCTAGTGGTTAGCTCTAGCAATCTATTCTCGCGGTCTAACTCTAGTAATCTCTTCTCGGGGTCTAAGTCTAGTAATCTATTCTCAGTGTCTAACTCTAACAATCTATTCCCGGTGTCTAACTCTAGCAATCTATTCTAGGGGTGAACTCTAGCAATCTTTTTTCGGTGTCTAAATCTAGTAATCTATTCTCGGTTGTCTAACTCAAGCAATCTATTCTCGGGGTCTAACTCTAGTAAACTATTCTCGGTGTCTAACTCGAGAAATCTATTCTCAGTGTCCAAGTCTAGCAATCTATTCTCGGTGTCCAAGTCTAGTAATCTATGCTTGGTGGCTTGGTGGCTAACTCTAGTAATCTATTCTCGGTGTCTAACTCTAGTAATCTATTATCAGGGTCAAAGTCTAGTAATCTATTCTTGGTGTCTACCTCTAGCAATCTATTTTCGGAGTCTAAGTCCAGTAATCTATTCTCCTTGTCTAACTCTTGTAATCTATTCTCGGTGTCTAAGTCTAGTAATCTATTTTCGGTGTCTAATTCTAGTAAACGATTCTCTGTGTCTAACCCTAGCAATCTATTCTCGGGGTCTATGTCTAGTAATCTATTCCTGTGGTCTAAGTCTAGTAATTTATTCTCGGTGCCTAACTCTAGTAATCTATTCTCGGGATCTAATTTTAGTAATCTATTCTCAGTGTCTAACTCTAGTAAACTCTTCTTGGTGTCTAACTCTAGCAATCTATTTTCGGGGTCTAAGTCAAGTAATCTATTCTCGGTGTCTAACTCTCGTAATCTATTCTAGGGGTTAACTCTAGTAATCTATTCTCGCGGTCTAACTTTAGCATTCTATTCTCGGTGTATAACTCTAGTAATCTATTCTCAGTGTCTAACTCTAGTAATCTATTCTAAGGGTCTAAGTCTAGTAATCTATTTTCGATGTCTAACTCTAGTAATCTATTCTCAGGGTCAAACTCTAAGAATGTATTCTCGGTGTCTAACTCTAGCAATCTATTCTCGGGGTCTAACTGTAGTAATCTTCATGCAACAACTTCATTGCTCTAAATGATTTTCTAAGCATAGCTTAGATGTGACACAACGAACTTTCCCTAAACGTAGATGTATGATTGTTTAGCACGAAAATCCAAAAGATATATATATATATATATATATATATATATATATATATATATATATATTGTATTCCCAATAATCATAAAGATAAGCATAGGGATGGTTTCTACAGTATGCAACAATAGATCGGCATAATTTTTCAAATTGGACCTAATTGTAGAATTAGGTCCGATTTGAACGAGAGCATCTGATTCAGAAAGGTAGACTGAGGTTTGATTTTCAAGCGGCGATCTAGTCATGCAAGCCTTGTGCCAGACATAATATATACAAACACTGAAAAAAGGACCCTCTCTCTGTCTCCGTCTCTCTCCTCCTCTCTCTCCCCCTCTCTCCCCCTCTCTATCTCCCCCTCTCTCTCCCCCTCTCTCTCTCTCTCTCATTATGAATAGCTGGCCACTCGTATTCGAGGATACTCGTCTACTAGGGCGGCAAGTCAATACCTATTGCAGACGCCTGCTCAGGCGTATTTGTGTTTATTCAACCTCCATAGAGCCCACCTGTGGTTTATACTCCAACTATGCTGAGAAGATCTTAATTACAGTTTCTGGGAAAGTGCGTGTTATCTAGCGGGATCAACTATTTGAACACGGTCATCACGCTCATGTCCTCGGACACGGTGACTTGTGACTTAGTGCTAACACAGCTATCGACGGCCTCTAAGCGTTCCGTCTACCCAATTTCACTCACAAGGGTTGGGTCAACCCGTCGTATGATTTTCAGGCACTTTCCAAAGCCAACGCACGCTGGGATCGATCCCCTCCAGTCCGATAACATCAGGAAGTCTACTTCCTTCCGCGAATCAACATTGTTCTGAACTGTGAATTCTTCGCTAAGATTAACAAAGAAATTTCGTATCCCATATCGACTGATATACAAATATATGCAAATCAGGTACAGAGTCTAAGACACTCGGGCTTCGAGCCCTAGTCAAAGTGTAGTATCTGCCTTCGGGCGCTCAAACTACAATTGATTTCTCAATTACGTCTCAGTTTTTCGAACAGTGAGCAGCTGAACTGCATCTTTGTCTTTGGGCAGATCGAAACTGAAAATATTACTGAGAGATGCCTGGTCTCTGGGAACAGCTGCCCGCGGCAGTAAATACCCACCTCTCTTGGCACTAAAAAGTGGGGATCGGTAGTAATACGGATGCCAGCGCAACCGATACTTACGAGGGTAGGGATATTTTTTGGACCTGGCCCTGTGTACATTAAACTATCCCTGTGTCATCCTGCCAGCGTGGAACGTCAAATAAATACGAATTGTGGAGTCTAAGATACTAGACGATGTTACTAACAACTGTTAGTCATAGAAGAAAACATCTACGCCCCCAATTCTTCGGGGTTTATGCAACATTTACTACCTTGAACAGCGCAGTCTCGGCCACCAAAATGACTCTTGGTGAATGAATAGGGAGAGATGAAAGTGCCATTGGACCACACCCACGATCCCACCCGCTTTCTATGACTTACACCAAGAAAGGTTGTTGTAAAGTTATGCAGGGTATCTAAGGAAACGTAAATACAGCCATTCATGTGAATTATGTTGGATGAGTTTTATCTGCAGAATCTGAATGCAGCTACTCATAAAACAGCATGACGTCCATCTTTTAAATGGAACTGAGTCAGAGTCTCAGGGATACAGGAAATTGCTTCCAAACCTCAGTCGTTTGAATTGAATAGAATCTATCTATCTATCTATCTATCTATCTATTTATCTATCTATCTATCTATTTCAGTGCGATCCTTTTCTATTTATCAGTCTTAACCTACTCATATCTATCTATCTATCTATCTATCTATCTATCTATCTATCTATCTATCTATCTCCCGCATACTCTCATTCACTCTCTCTCTTTAGATATATATATATATATATATATATATATATATATATATATTTCAGTGTGATCTTTAACTATCAATCTATTGACTATCGACTTCAGTGTGATTTTTTATTTATCAATCTTAACCTACTCATATCTATCTATCTCCTCCTTTCTCTTTCTCTCTCTCTCTCTCTCTCTCTATATATATATATATATATATATATATGTGTGTGTGTGTGTGTGTGTGTGTGTGTGTGTGTGTGTGTGTGTGTTCATTCTCTATCTCTTCATCTATCTCTCCATTTATCTATCTGAGTCTGTTTATATCTATCTTACTCACATATATATATATAATGAGAATTATATATATATATATATATATATATATATATATCAGTCTATTATATATATATTCACATCTATATATCCATCTTTCTGAGTCTGTACATATTTTAGCCTGTTCATCACTCTCTTTCTGTAACAGTCTCTTCATAACCACTATCTTTATCTATCTATCTATCTATCTAATTCAGTGTGACCTTTATTTATCCGTGATAACCTATTCATATCTATCTATCTATCGATATATTTCGGTGTCATCTTTAGCTATCTATCTTAGCATACTCATATCTATTTATCTATTTCAGTGTAATCTTTCTCTATGTTAACCTACTCGTATCTAGCGATCTGTCCATTTGTCTATATCAGTCTATTCAATATCTTGCAACTATATTTATTCATGCATATAATATGCGTTGTACATCAAGTAATTCAAAACGAATTGTCATATAGAAAAAAAGTAAATGTTTTCCGAAAAAAAGTATCTTTATCGTAACAGAGCGGAAAACATAATGAAAGACAGCATGCATCCCATGTTCCATTTGCTTGATCCTTTAACCTCAGGCGAAGTTTATTTGTTCGAGAACAAAGACCTTGAAGAAGATCTTTCATGCTTGGGATCTGTACAAAATGAACGCTGCCACACGCTGACAATTTTAAACGTATTTTATACATTACTTAAATACTCTTAAATAAACATTACTTCGTCTTAGTCTTAAATAGACATTACTTAAATAGTCTTTGTCTTAAAGAGACATTACTTAAATATGTTTCGTCTTAAATAGACACTACTTAAATAGTCTTAGTCGTAAATAGACATTACTTAAATAGTCTTAGTCTTAAATAGACATTACTTAAATATGTTTAGTCTTAAATAGACATTACTTACATAGTTTTTTTTTGTTTAAATTAAATTTTCCTTTTTCTTTATACATTGCTTAGCCTTTGCAATGCATCTTTCGCTATCTTAATACAACTTTTAGATTTCGGTGTTGCACATCTCATCCTCCGTTAAAACATTTCCTAAATATTTAAATTTTTTTAATCATTCTGTCATCTCCAATTTGTAATTCTCATGTTAGGCTGCCCCTTTTGCTAACAACCATACATTTTGTCTTCTTACAATTGACCTTTAGTCCTTTCTTCCCGCTTTCCTTTACTGAGGAATTAGTGTATGACCCTTTCTTTGCCTACTATTAAGACTACGACACGCATAAAATTCGACCACGTAAAATTCATGTACTCCATCTTGTGTAGCTGCGAGAGTTTCCAACTACAACCATCGATCATTCCTCTACCTTGAATTCAACCGAAATTCACCTGAAAACCTCCTCGTTGCTCACATGTTTAGTCCATGTTAACCTCGGCATCCGTCTCTAGAGTCACATCACTGACGCTGCGAGCCTCTTCTTACTCCGTGAGGAAATTGTCTCATATTCACTAGCGTACAAGTGGATAGAGGATTGAATAAAGAAATATTCCTACATCTTAATGCTTTGCTTAGCCTCTCTACAAAATTTGCATTTATTTCATTTTCGCATCTCCAATCTGTAATTCGAATGTTGGGCTTCCCCTTTTGCTAACAACCATACATTTTATTTTCTTACACTTGACCTTTAGTCCTTTCTTCTCGCTTTCCTTTACTGGGGAATTCATGCATGTTCCTTTCTGTGCCTACTATCAACTCTACGACACACATAAAATTCGACCATATAAAATTGATGTACTCCTCCTTGTGTACCTGTAGAAGTTATCGTGTAGAAACAGCGATCAATCCTCTAACCAAAATTCGCACAAAAACCTCCTCGCTGCTCACATGTTTAGTACATGTTCACCTCAACATCTGAGCCTCTTCTACCTCTGTGAGGAAATTGTCTCGTACTCACTAACGTACAGGTGGATAGATGATTCAGTAATAAAGAAATATTGCTACCTCTTAATGCTTAGCGTTTTGAAAGACCTCTTTTGTTTTTTCTTCACCTCTTCCGATCTGTGTCTACGGCTTCTGTCGTCTGCTTTGAAGCCGCCCAGATAATTAAATATTCAGCCAACAGTAAGGATTCTAGCGTCTTTAATAGTTCTAGATTCAAAAACGATCACAAATATATTTTAATTTAATTTTTACATGAAGCAATGTCGGCCATTATTTTCTATTTTGAGTAGCAATTTACTTTCATCATGATTTTAGTTGCATTTTATCACACATCTTAGCGGGAAAGAATTCTTTATAATTTACAAAACAAACCGTCTTACGTATCACCGTTGGTTGACAGTTCGAATATGTTGCGATAAAAATCATCTGAAATCAAAATGAAATTAAATTAACAGTCAAAATTAATAATAATAATAATAATAATAATAATAATAATGATCAAAATCAAATTAATTCTAATTTATACGAACTTTTGTAAATTAAGATTTGTAAGAGGTCTGTACAAAAACTATCATGACTGTTGCTATGGTAACAGAGGTAAAGTACGAAGAATGAAGCCGCTTGGTGAAGATAAACCTAGAGCTCGAGCTTGTAAGTTATAACGTTGTCTCTCACTTCCGTTGCTTATCGCAGTGCTTGGAAGGAAAGTGTGTAGAGTGTGGCCGTCTCACCACACCAAAGAGGTTCCATCAGTAAACCTAGAACTCGTACATACATACCCACTAGGTTATGACGTTCCAGCTCACTTTCTGTCATAGAGGAATAAAATGAGTAACTACCGACATTGAGGTTCGAGCGTGACACTTTGGACTTATGAATATATGTTTTTCTTATATATATATTCAGGCTACTAACTGGAAGTAATTATTGAGTGGAACTATCCAGTCGAATTAGTGTGAATTATTGTGCGTCGATGATTTGGGTTTTGATTTAAGATTTACAAAACCAACTGTCTGCGTATTACTGTTGGGTGAAATATGTTCCGATAAAATGTAAAATCAAAATTTAATTAAATTAACAGTTAAAATTAACAATAATAATCAAAATCAAATTAATTTTAATTTGCATACACTTGCGTAAATTAACATATTAATGTGAGGTGGTCATAAAGTATGCGGCAGAAATACCTCCAACATTTTAAACTATCACCTCTGTCGCGCTATTGAACTTAGGGAAGTGGCAATTGTGCCTTCATCTAGCTAATGTCTTATCATTTTCTCTTTACATAGCATCAATAACCATGATGGCTTGGATCGGTGGAAACCCTGCGTTTGCTGTTGAAACATTTTTTTTTCTTTTTAAAGACTGGTGAATCTGTAATTACAACACAGAGACCCTTTCGTGCTCATTTCATTTTCCATCGGAATGATGCTCTATTCCAGGTAGAAAATCGATATTGCTATGGATTTAAAATTTCCCGGCCACAGGTTCAGCGCTTAAAAAAAAAGACCACCTGGAAGAGGCCAAAGTGCTCGAACTCCGGAAAATCTCCTGGCTTCAGAAATCGACTACAACAGTGTCTGACGAAGAGTGGACACTATTTGGAAGATATTATTTTTAAAACCAAAATAAAATAAATAAAAACTATAGCTTTTTGTTTAAACAACGGTGAATAGCAGTTAATTTTCTTTTTTGCCAATTTTGACAATGTACTGTCTACATTTCTGAGATGAGGTATTATGTACATTATTTACATTATTCGGACTATTATCCTCATCTTTGTCGCCATATTATTTACAACGTTTCGGCCCTTTGTACGCTCCGGCCTTCATCAGGTGGATGGAATGTAGAACTGAACCCTTTATTTCGCTCACTGGGGTAGACTGTTCTAGTTCCACGTGCCATGTTTTAATGGATGTCAGTTATCACTTACCTCCTGTTAATTCCCCACTGAAAGTTCTCCACTGCCTTAGCCGAGTATTGAACTCACACTCTTTGGGTCCTGTCACTGGATCTAACTAATGCCTTTATCCACTGTCATGTGTCCTTGAGAACACATGGCACAGCGGATAAAGACATTCCAACCACCTGAAGTAGGCCGGAGCGTACAACGGCCGAAACGTTGTAATAACTATGGCGACAAAGATGAGGGCAATAGTCTGAATAATGTAAATAATGTACAGAGTGGAAGTTATTTTTGTCGCCAAATGAATTTAACACATGTACAGAGGTATATGTGTTAAATTCATGTAGCGGTTATGGGTTCAATCATTGGTTCTGGTAGTAACGCACCAATTCAGCCAATCAATTGACACCTGATGATGGTCGAAACGTTGTCTATAATAACATCTATATCAAGATCAGAACAATAGTTTAAAATAATCAAAAAGAAAAATGTACTCTATTTCCATTCCAGATCCCTTACAGCTCTTAGTTCCTGAATAATTTTAACCTTCCTGCCTGAGCTCCTGAGTCAAAATTCACAAATAATTGGTATGTAATGTTTCATCGGAGATATAAAAATAGTGTTTACCCACCGTTCAACCGGTAGCTGGACATTAAGTCATTCTTCTATACCACTGTTCAACCGGTGGCTGGGCATTAAGTCATTTTACTCTACCACTGTTCAACCGGTGACTGGACATTAAGTCATTTTTCTCTACCACTGTTAAACCGATGGCTGGATTTTATGTCATGTTCCTCTACCACCCGTAAAGCGGTGGCCCGGCCTCGAAGTGTTAATATAGCCCAAAATATATAATTTAGTTCCATTGTCTTTCTCTAACAAAAGTTGGGCACTCTGAAATGTTCCTAATATAGATTAATTAACGTTTTTAGATTCACATTTTTAGCGAAATTTAATTGTTTTCCCTACTAGCATCATAAGCTGCTTGAATTTCCTTAGTTATAAATAGTTTTACTTATCTAACAACATTTATGCAAATATATTTAGTCATGTAAGTGGTATGACACAAAAGCTTTGAAAATTTGAAGAACGCCTAAGAAAATAATCAAACACAGATCTTTGCCGCTAGCTTTCGGAGCCGGCAAGAACCACTCCTTTTTCTTATATTGCTTATCAGTTTCCTATTTTTATTTTCCATCGCTTGCTTCAAAATAAGTTCTTTCTTTTTTTTCAATCATTTTTCTTTCGTTTTCACATGATCTATCCTTTATTTATTTCATTCTTTTATTAAACAATTTTCCTTCATCCTTATATTATTTTAGTAATCATTTTTCTTTTATGAAGCATCGTTTCTTTCTTTCATTCTTTTTTTTATCTTTTATAAAAAAGATTTTTCTTTCTTTGTAAACAATCGTTTCTTTCACTCTTTTATTAAGCTTATTTTCTTTTTCTTATATATCATCATTTCTTTCTTTCTTTCTTTCAATCTTTTTTCAATCTTTCTTTCTTTTTTCATTCTTTTATTAAATCCTTTTCTTTCTTTCTTTCTTTCTTTCTTTCTTTCTTTGTGAACAATCGTTTCTTTCATTCTTTTATTAAGCATATTTTTCTCTTATGAATCATCGTTTTTTCTTTCTTTCTTTCAATCTTATTTTTCAGTCTTTCTTTCTTTCTGTCTTTCAATCTTCTTTTTCTTCCTTCCTTTCGTTCTTTCTTTCTTTTTTCATTCTTTTATTAAATCTTTTTTCTTTCTTTCTTTGTGAACTATCGTTTCTTTCATTTTTTTATTAAGCATATTTTGTTTCTCTTATGAATCATCGTTTTTTCTTTCTTTCTTTCTTTCTTTCTTTCTTTCAATCTTCTTTTTCAATTTTTCTTTTTTTCAATCTTTTTTCAATCTTTCTTTCTTTTTTCATTCTTTTATTAAATCCTTTTCTTTCTTTCTTTCTTTCTTTCTTTCTTTGTGAACAATCGTTTCTTTCATTCTTTTATTAAGCATATTTTTTCTCTTATGAATCATCGTTTTTTCTTTCTTTCTTTCAATCTTATTTTTCAGTCTTTCTTTCTTTCTTTCTTTCAATCTTCTTTTTCTTCCTTCCTTTCTTTCCTTCTTTTTTCATTCTTTTATTAAATATTTTTTCTTTCTTTCTTTGTGAACAATCGTTTCTTTCATTTTTTTATTAAGCATATTTTCTTTCTCTTATATATATTCGTTTATTTCTTTCTTTCTTTCAATCTTTTTTTAATCTATCTTTCTTTTTTCTTTCTTTTATTAAATCTTTTTTTTCTTTCTTTATGAGCAATCGTTTTTTTAATTCTTTTATTAAGCATATTTTCTTTCTCTTATAAATCATCGTTTTTTTCTTTCTTTCTTCCTTTCAATCTTATTTTCTATCTTTCTTTTTTCCTTCTTTTATTAAATATTATTCTTTCTTTCTTTGTGAACAATTGTTTCTTTCATTCTTTTATTAAGCATATTTTCTTTCTCTTATAAATCATTGTTTTATTTTTCTTTCTTTCAATCTCATTTTTCAAACTTGGGGTACTAGAACAGATGTGTCAGTAATATTCAAATCTTTCTTTCTTTCTTTCAAACTTCTTTTTCAATCATTCTTTCTTTCTTTCTTTCTTTCTTTCTTTCTTTCTTTCTTTCTTTCTTTCAATCTTTCTTCTTTTATTAACCATTTCTCTTCTTTTATTCTATGAACCCTCGATAATTTCTTTCCTTTATGAATTATCATTTCTTTCTTTATGTAATATCTTCCATCAGCATGACCGACTCTAAGAGAGCGACTTATTGCGTCTTTTCTGACAAACTAAAAAGACTATATTGAATCAATTGCTAGGTCTGCTGCTAGGTACATTGCTTCCCTAGAATTCTAGACATTGTTTTCTCGCCATAATCTATAGTCTACCATTGATCCTTGCTTTGAATATTACTGACACATCTGTTCTGGTACCCTTCAATACTTATGTTGACATTTATATCTCTAACTATCCAGTGAGGTCGCTCTCCCCCTCCACTAGGGAGGAGTTTCCAGCGACGAAAGGAACACGTCTATATTGTTAGGCGGTTAAGACCTAACTCACTGAAAATTCTTTCTCTATCTCTATATTTCCTACACTCGTCCATTCAATCAAAATCGACTTCCTTTATTTTGTCTTGTATCTGACTTCAAAGGTCAACCCCAGGAGATCCCAGTAGAGATACACTTCTCTAAAAAATAATAATCTGCTAATCTGTTATTCAGCAGAGAAATATTCCTACAATCCTAAATGTTTAAATCACTCACAAAGGGTTGATAAGCCGTTAAAAATAATCATAATTATTATTTGCTTTACTTATATGTCTTCTTACATTTTTTCACTTTTTCTTTTAATTGCTTTATTCTTTTTCTTTCACACTTTTTCTTCATTTTTCAGCCTCTTTTTTCTTTCTTTCTTCTCGTCCTGGGTATGACAATAAATTACATCCGCGTCCAGGGTAAGACGATAAACTACGCCCAACAGCAAGGTCTCTGACCAAGAGTTTTTGAGGAGCGTGGAACCACCTCTTAATTGCTGGTGTTCCTAGGTCCACCCTGACCCGGGGTGGTAGCACCTGTCAGGGTCACTGCTGTGAGCAAATAGTTAATAATATAAGAATAATAAGAAAAAACGGTTAATAAAAGAAAGAATTGAAAATGAAAGAAAGGAAAAAAGAAAGAAATGATCATAAAGGAAGGAAGGAAGGAAGGAAGGAAGGAAGGAAGGAAGGAAGAGAGAGAGGAAGGGAGGGAGAGAGGGAGGTAGGAAGGAAAGGAAGGAAGGAAGGGAATGAAGGAAGGAAGAAGGAAAGGAAAGAATGAAGGAAGGAAGGAAGGAAGAAGATAAGTAAGTAAGTAAGGAAGGAAGGAAGGAAGCAAGGAAGGAAGAAGGAAGGAAGGAAGAAGGAAAGGAAAGAAGGAAAGAATAAAGGAAGGATAAAGGTAAGTAAGTAAGGAAGGAAGAAGGTAAGGAAGGAAGGAAGGAAGGAAGGAAGGAAGGAAGGAAGGAAGAAGGTAAGTAATGAAGGAAGGAAGGAAGGAAGGAAGGAAGGAAGAAGGAAAGGAAAGAAGGAAAGAATAAAGGAAGGATGAAGATAAGTAAGGAAGGAAGAAGGTAAGGAAGGAAGGAAGGAAGGAAGAAGGAAGGAAGGAAGGAAGGAAGGAAGAAGGAAAGGAAAGAAGGAAAGAATAAAGGAAGGATGAAGGTAAGTAAGTAAGGAAGGAAGAAGGTAAGGAAGGAAGGAAGGAAGGAAGGAAGATTTATAAAAATAAGAATAATAGTTAATAAAAGAAAAGAAAGGAAGGAAGGAAAGGAGGAAAGAAGGATGGAAGGAAGGAAGGAAGGAAAGAAGGAAGGAAAGGAAGGAAGGGAAAGAAGGGAAGGAAGGAAGGAAGAAGGAAAGGAAAGAAGGAAAATGAAGGAAGGATGAAGGTAAGTAATGAAGGAAGGAAGGAAGGAAGGAAGGAAGGAAGGAAGGGAGATTTATAACAATAAGAAAAATAGTTAAAAGAAAGAATGAAAAAGAAATAAAGAAAATTAAAAATGAGAAAAAGGAAGAATAGAAGTAAAAATCAATAAAGAAAGAAGTAAAAAAAAAAGAAAAAAAATAAGAAATTCTCATAATAATGAAGGGAGGGAGGTTCATAACAATGAGAAAAAATGTTAATAAAAGAACGAACTGAAACCGAAAGGAAGAAGTAAAAAGGAAAGACAGAAAATGAAGTGAAAAAGAAAGAAATTAAATGCTTTTTATGGAAAAAGATGAACGTAAAAGAATGGGAAATAAGCATGAAAAAGAAAAGAAAAAAAGAGGCTGACAAATGATTGAAAAGAGACAAATAAGAAAGTTTGGAGCAAAGAAAGAAAAAATTAAGAGGTTTTATGAAAGAAAGAAAGAAAGAAAGAAAGAAAGAAAGAAAGAATCAAAGAAAGATTTATAACTTAAAGTAGAAAGAGAAAACTTTAAAACACTAATACACAATTGAAAGATGGAGCAAACGACATAAAAAAAAGAAAAAGAAATGAAAGAACGAATAAAAAAGAAACATGGTTAATATAGCGGCAGATGTAAGGAATATTAAAACCTATATAAAATGAAAACAAAGTAAAACTAGGAAGACAAGTCACAAAGACGAAAGCAAAATATACGAAAACGAACTGAAGAATAAATGAATAAATCAGGAAGAATGGCTGACAAGGGAGAAATGAGAAAGAACAAAATACACAGATGCCATATTGGATGTAAGGTGAGCCACATCAGGCGTTCCTCTGATAGCACTTTGTGTCAAAACTGTTGGTTATGTCGATGTGAAGGTTATGGATTCAAAACGAGGCTCACTTTGCCTGTCTACTTTTGCCGCCTCAAATGTTTAATTAATCTGCACTGACGCCAAAAAGATCTTCTCAGTTTGATCAGTTACGTTTATTTATGAGAACGCTTGTCAAAAGATGGAATCCATAAAAGAGTATTGCTATGATTTGATAGATAGATAGATAGATAGATAGATAGATAGATAGATAGATAGATAGTGAACATAACATGATAGATAGATACATACATAGTGAACAATACAAGATAGATAGATAGATAGATAGATAGATAGATAGATAGATAGATAGTGAACAATACAAAATAGATAGATAGATAGATAGATAGATAGATAGATAGATAGATAGATAGATAGATAGATAGATAACAATACAAGATAGATAGATAGTGAACATTGCGTGATAGATAGATACATCCTTTAGTGCCTATATTAAAAGTAAAAATGAAGATTGAGTAACAAAACCCTTTAATCTGGTATGGAGATGTATAAAAATGAAATAGGGTCGCCAAGCGATATGCAAGGGTCGCGAAAATTAAATTCAGACACTTGAATTTCTGTTTCCATGTTATTTTACAAACGCCCAACATTTAAAGTGATGCACCACGCAATCCCTGCGGTAATAAAACGCGCGTACGTCACCATCGCGACTCCTGAGGAGACAACGTATGTACTTTCAGTGTAGTTGGTATATACCTGGGAACTGTGAAAAATCTCCTCATGAAAAATGGGGTCATGAATGAAAAATGTTTAAGAAGCGCCGATCTAAACAATTACAGAATATTCTAATGAAATTTACTCTTGTAGACATTTTTCTTCTTTCACTCTTTAAGTTTGTCTTGATATTATTAGTTGAATTCATACCAGAAGATTGAGTTAGCCATCTTCTAAATAAGGTTTTCTTTTTCTTCTCCTACAACGTTTTGTATCCTTTCAGGGTGTGGGCGCTCATGGCTCTCCACAAGCTTTGTAGCTCTTAGCAACGTTTGTCACTTTGCCAAACCTCCGAGCGCATGTGTCCGCCATCCATTCACCAAAAAACGGCCCGCTGCCTTCCGCTCCACCCATTGCTCTCGACAGTGTCAAATTCTCCAAGAACTCCTTTCTCATTATATGTCCAAGACTTGTCAGCTGCCTCTTTTTGATCCTGAGCACGTGTCATTTTTCTTGATATTTACCTTAAGATTTCTTCGTTGCTTACGCGCACCGTCTATGGAATTCTCAGCGTCCTTCTGTAGAAGCACATTTCTGTTAGCACCAGTTTTCTGTTCATCTGTTAGAAATTTGTCCAGTATCCCCTGCCATGCGAGAGGAATGATATTGCATAACAGTTTAGATATCTTTTCTTTGTTTCTAACAAAAATTTTCCAGTCTCTTTATACTTTACTTAGCTTTTCGAATGCACCTTTCGCCATTCCAATGCGCGTTCGGATTTCGGTGTCGTATTTTCTGTCCCCTGTTAAAGTACTTCCCATATATTAAAGCTTGTTTCTTCTTGACATCTCCAATTCGTAGTTCGCACAGGTAGTAGTTCAGACAAAGTGTCGAATGGACAAAGTGTAGAATGGACAAAGTGTCGAAGGACAAAGTGATGTCGATGGACAAAGCGCGAATGGACAAAGTGTCGAAGGCCAAAGTGTCGAATGAAAAAATGTCTAAGGACAAAATGTCGAATGGACAAAGTGTCGAATGGACAAAGTGTCGAAGGACAAAGTGTCGAATGGACAAAGTGTCGAATGGACAAAGTATCGATGGACAAAGTGTCGAATTGGCAAAGTGTCGAATGGACAAAGCGTCGAAGGACCCAGTGTCTAAGGACAAAGTGTCGAATGGACAAAGTGACGAACGACAAAGTGTTGGAAAACAAACTGTCGAATGGACAAAGTGTTGGAGGACAAAGTGTCGAATGGACAAAGTGTCTAAGGACAAAGTGTCGAAGGACAAAGTGTCGAATGGACAAAGTGACGAACGACAAAGTGTTGGAGGACAAACTGTCGAATGGGCAAAGTGTTGGACGACAAAGTGTCGAATGGGCAAAGTGACGAACGACAACGTGTCGAATGGACAAAGTGTCTAAGGACAAAGTGTCGAAGGACAAAGTGTCGAATGAACAAAGTGTCGAAGGATAAAGTGTCGAAAGGACAAATTGCCTATCGGAAAAATAATTGAACTGATTAAATGATGAGTGGACATCATGTTTAAAAGGCCAAATTGTTAATCCACATAAAAACGAACATATTGTCATTATTTTAAAAACTCGGTTCAAATAATCAGTTAAGCAATTGTAAAAAAAAAATTATTGTTTAGCTTTGAAATCATTTAATAAACAATTGCCTTCAAAGTGATTAAGACTCCATAATAATTGTTTACACGGCCGATTTGGCCTGTTGTTTATTCCGCTTTATTTACTTGCATTATTTACATTATTCACGCTGTTATGTTCGTCTTCATTGCCATATTCACAACGTTTCGGGCATTATACGATCCGGCCTTCTACAGGTGATAGGAATATCTAACCGAACCCTATATTTCCTCCACCGGGTAGATTGTTCTTGTTCCACGTGCCATGCCTCATCGGGATGTCTCAGTTATTTTCCTTTAACTTAACTCTTTAAGTTTTGATTCACACAGTGGTCCATTAGGCACCTAGCTCACAATTCAGTGTGTATAATAATTTCAGTGACTCCTTCAAGTTTTAAACGCCATAATTCTGAACTATATTTTTCCATGCCTTTCATTCTGATCTATATTTTTCCATGCCGTTCATAATGGAAATTATCCAGACGCGAATAGGAGGAAATAAAGTCTTACATGAAGACAACGCAGACGTCGTCGGCAAAATGAATCGATTGGAAATGCGAAAAACGACGTTTTTTTAATGGTCCGTTCGACACTTCGTCCGTTCAACATTTTGTCCGTTCGCCATTTTGTCCCTTCACCATTTACCCTTTCAACACTTTGTTTCTTCGACACTCTTTCTGCGCATGTTCGCATCTTGGACTTCTTCTGCTGGGAACCATATTTTCTGTTTTCTTACAGGTTAGTCCCTTCTCACTATCCTTCAGTACCGTGTCTAAGAGATTATGTGTTTTTCTTTCTGTGTCAGCACTTTCGTCTGTGTATCTTATTTAATTAAGATTACGCCCATTGATGTTGTTATAATGGAACACACCTATTCTATAGTTAATAGACTCTCCCACCTATAATAAGTAGGAGTAGTAAGAGTAACAAGTCAGTCGCTCAGTGGGTCAGTCAGTCGACTGGCTGATCGGTTGAACTCTCTGCCTTCGGGCGGGGAGGAACCCGAAAGAGGCTACGCTGAAAGGCAGATTCTCTTTCGGGGAGGTAAACCGACCCTGAGCCCATTTATACGGGTTCAACGGGCATATTTTTAGCCGAACACACGGGCTCGGAGATCCCACGGGCTCGGAGATCCCACGGGCTCGGAGATTCCACGGGCTCGGAGATCCCACGGGCTCGGAGATCCCACGTTAAAAAGGCCTTGTGCCAAATGACGCCCTCGTGGGGGTGGTGACTGAATATCGTCGCTGAGTCGCTCAGTGGGTCAGTCAGTCGACTGGCTGATCGGTTGAACTCTTTGACTTCAGGCGGGGAGGAACCCGAACGAGCCTACGCCGAAGGACGGATTCTCTTTCGGGGAGGTAAACCGACCCTGAACCCGTTTATACGGGTTCAATGGGCATATTTTTGGACGAGCCCACGGACTAGAAGATCCCACGTTAAACCGGCCTTGTGCCACATGATGCCCACGTAGGGGGGTGACTAAAGATAGTAACGGAGTCGGTTGGTTAGTCAGTCGATGTCGGACGACCGTTAGTCGAATATTAAAGTATCAGCCACCACAACTAGATTGCTGCGTCATTACCTATTATATCAAGTTCCTAATGTTTTGTACGTCGAACCTATTTTAGGACCGACTTAGTACAAATACAAGCCTCCACTGTGAAACCACTACAGATGTCAAATCCAAGAACGGTTTGCAACTCCTTTAGTATGGCCTCGCTTTAGTGGCTGAATAAATCTGGGGAGAATGCTTTCTGTTTCTGTGCACCTATTTGATGCATTATCTATCCGTATGCAGGCAATTTCCTCTAAACATAAGTCCTGGATTATTCTAACATACCCCGCTAGATAGATCGCGTTTTCCTAAGATTTCAAATAGATTTTTGTGTCTAATTTATCAAATATTTTTGCTTCCTTTATAAAACATAATTGTACATCCTTCTATATATCTATTGCTGTCCCAGATATCATTATGATCATAAATATGATA